TCTGTGGACTGGGGGGTCCCGGGTTCGATTCTGGTCAGGGGCATGTATATTGGTTGCGGGCACATCCCCTGTGGGGGGTGTGCAGGAGGCAGCTGGTCGGTATTTCTCATCGACGTTTCTAGCTCTCTCTCTCTCCCTTCCTCTCTGTAAAAAATCAATAAAAATATATTAAAAAAAAAAAAAAAAAGCTTCCGGCAAACAAAAGCTGGGGCCAGATGGTTTCACAGGAGAGTTTTACCAAACATTCAAGGAAGAACTAAAACCTATCCTATGCCCACCGGCCAATCAGGAGTGAGTATGCAAATTAACCCAACAGAGATGGAAGGTTAATTTGCATACACAGGCACTGAACAGATAGTGGTGGGGCGGGACACTTGCATCATTGCCATAGTGATGACTCAGGCATTTTGCACCATCCATGCCACTCTGGACCTCTGGGCAGTGTGGGAAGGCAGAAAGGTAACTGGCCAGAAAGGTGGTGGTGCTGGCAGCCAGGGGAAGGAAGGCCCATTCTTGCACGAATCTTCATGCATCTAGTCCTATCTAATAAAGAGGGAATATATCGCTTCTCGGCCTTTTGGCTAAGATCAAGTGTAGTATCTGTTCTTATCAGTTTAGTAAAGAGGGAATATGCTAATTGACTGCCCTACACTCAAAGATGGTGGCATCCACAGCCACAAGATGGTGTCACCCAGTTACCTCAGCCCTGCAATGGTGTCCACATGCCTGCCTCTGGAGTCCCCGAGTCCCTTTAGCCCCCCAGTGCCAGCTCGAGGCATAGGCAAACCTCAGATGTGGCTGCCCAGCCACCCAGGGCTGCCCAAAGCTCATGTAACCAGGGCTGGCCAAGGCTTGAATTGTCAGCTGAGGTAACAGCAGAGGTGTGATGGGCTTTGCCTTCCCCGGATCCCTAGGTTGCCTCTTGCCCCTGAGTGCTCCTGGACTGTGAGAGGGGGCAAGCCGTGCTGAGGGACCCCTGCTCCATTGCATGAATTTTAATGCACCAGGCCTCTAGTCATATTATGAAAGAAAATAATCTCTCCTGAGAGTCAAAGACAGTTGAGATTTTTGAAGGAGACAGCCAAGAGGGGTTGTTTTAGGTCATGCAAAGGAAATATTCCCTATGATAAGGAGAATAAGCATGGCCCATGAGGGTAAGTGTGGGTGACACACCACAAGTCAAAGGTGACTGTTTAAGGCAAGCATCCCACTGCTAAACAAATTGCCATAAGGGGAGACCTTCTGGATTGGATGTCCCAATTTCAGAAAGATCCAAGACCAAATGACAGAGGAGTCTTCTGGCCTAATGCTAGGACTTTTGAGACCAGAGAACTTTTGAGAAGTCAGTAAGACTAAGTGGACAGAAGATTTGAGACTAGGGAAATTGTGAAATGTCACTCATCTAGAGAAGATTGGCCGGTGTGGGATGGAGGCTCAGCAATGCAGAAGGAGGGGTTCCTGATCTGGCATCCTCTTTGGGTAGGAAAGGAGGCCTAATTGAGGCAGGCAATCATGTCACCGAGTATGATTCAGAAGTAAGTCCAGATTGAATTGATCCTGCCTACTGCTCTCTGAGTAGCAAATTCAGGGTGATCAAAGTGGGGACAATGGCTTCCCTTTCCTATGGAACCCTCCCAGATTTCAACACCAAATGTTAGGGTTGCCAAAGGAGAAACACATGAGGCCAAAGTGTTCAATAATTATACATTTATTAGGTCATCAGGAGATCAAATGGGCTAAGCTTCGAAATGGCACCAGCACCCAGGGATGGGGAATCGGAGGTTTTTAAATCTCTCTCTCTCTCTCTCTCTCTCTCTCTCTCTCTCTCTCTCTCTCTCTCTCTCTGTGTGTGTGTGTGTGTGTGTGTGTGTGTGTGTGTATGTGTGTGTGTTTGTTTGTTTTTTTGTGTTTTTTTTGCAGGGAACTCTCTTGATGGGTCCAGATCCTGGGAAAATCCAGAGGGGAAAAATAACAGTCTTACCAAGTGGAATATATTCTAAGCAAAAGGAAATGTTGGTTGTGAAGTGGTCTAAAGGACAGTTTCCAGGGAAGGTGATATCAATTCAATTATTACACCTCAGCATTTTGAAGATTATTTCCCTATTTTCTCCTTGCATCTATAATAATATTGATGTGAAAGCTGTTAGTAATATGGCAGTTTTCTTTCTTTGTAAGTGATGTATTTTGCAATGAGCTTTTACATCCTTGATACTATAAAAATTTGCTACAACAGGTATTTTTATCAATTTATCTTCTCTCCTGGAGCTATAAATTAGATCTTTCATTGGAACTCCCTGTCTTAATATTTAAAATATCATTTGGCTGAGAATTTCTTAGCATAACTTTAATATCATTTGTTAAATTAGCTGTGAATATTTCAATATTCAATCCATTTGTTAACTTGAATTTTTCCCAAATCATGTCTAATTAGATCTTTCTATTTCACTTTCTCATGTCAAAAGAGATACTTCTAGGATTAAACGTGTGGTTTTTGTTGTTGTTGTGTTGTGTTCTATTTTGTTTGTTTTTTACCTTTCTCTCAATTTTATTGTAAACATAAAATTGTATTAGGAAAAATAGTCTTTTTTTTCTTAAAAGAAGATAGTATAGCCTAGTTAATAAATCAAGTGGAAATATTAAAAATTCACTTTTTAAATGAACATAATCTTTTAAGATTAGGTGTCAATTTCAGTTATCTGTTGTCTTTTTAGGTTTTGAAGCAACATCCTATATAAAAAGTTTTTTTTATATAGGATAAAAACATCCTATATATTAAACATCCTATATATTAAAAAAAGCCTAATATGTAACATCTTATATATTAAAAAAAAAAAAAGCCTAATATGCAAATCAACCAAAAGCCAGAATGACGGGCCAAAAGACCAGTCACTATGACATGCACTGACCACCAGAGGGCAGATGCTCAATGCAGGAGCTGCCCCCAGCTCACAAGCCCCATGTTAGCCAAGGTGGGCACCAGTGGGGGCCTCCTGATCCTCCACTGGTCACCCCACAGATAGGCCCTGATTGCTGGCCAGGCCTAGGGACTCTATCCATGCACTAATTTCATGCACTGCACCTCTAGTTGGTTAATAAAACCATAAAGATTTCAAATATAGTAGTCAACAAAACATCTGCACACTGCATCAGGCACTCACCAGTTAAAATAAAGTCTCTTTCAGTCCCCATTTGTCCCTTCCTTGCCCATTTTCACTTCACCCACCCCCCTTTTCTTCTATCATCAACTGCTGTCTATGCCCATGTGTCATATTTTTGCTTAATCCATACACCTTTTTCACCCAATTCCCTCCCATCTGACAGCTATGTATCTATGCTTCTAATTCTACTTGTTAAATCGCTTTTTGTTGATTATGTTACATGGAGTTGGGGCAAGCAGAATCTCCCTCTGTGAGTTCTTGTCTCATGAAGTTTGAAGAATAAATTAGTGGACTAAAGATTTTAAATAAAAATGTGGAAGTTTATTGCAAGCATATGTCAACTCACCCTGGTCAGGGGTTCCCAATTGGGAACAGCCTGCTTGCTCTCTCTCTAAAATGGGAAACATTCTAAATCCTGTTCTGAGTCTCTTTATCTTCAGTTTAAATATGCTGGCAGCTCTTTGTCTGAACATTACCCTTTCTAATTGGACCTTTCCTTAATTCCTTAATTTATGACCCCTGTGCCTTCCTAATTGGTCATTCTCCTGCATAGTATCAGTTTCAAAAGTCAAAGCCCACTTGTTGCCCTCTCCCCTTATCTTGCAACATTCTTCAATCCTCTGTGAATATATGACTTTCTCTTGTACTGGTCATATTTCTCTATGAAAGAATATCTTCCCCTTGTAACATTTCTTTACCCTCTGTGAAAGCAAGTTAAGCAGTCTGGTGTCTTGGAGCTGTCTCCTTCTCTTCACATATGCATTCCTCTCCCATGGATCCCTTTTTTCGTAAAACTACCTGTCCTGTCTCTAAAATTCATTTCAATTAGATTCTCCATATAAATGAAATTATGAGGTATTTGCCTTTCTCTTACTGGCTTTTTTTCACTAACATAATAATTCCATTATGTATTGGCTTTCTTAAAGTGTTCTGGATACTTTTATATATTAATTTACTTAATCCTCTCATTAACTTTATGAACTAAGCATTATTAATCCTCCTTTAAAGATGACTAAACTAAATCAATGACTGAGGTAAAAAGTTACTCAAGGCCATGGAACTAGTAAGTTTTGGATCCAGGACACAATCCTATAGAGCCCCCTTTCTTCCCAATGAATTAGCCACCCAAGTTGCATGCTCATTGCTTGCTCCTGAAAGTAATTACCCCAATAGCTGCTAGCTTGCCCACAGTGGATGGCGATGGTACATCCACACAGTTTGCAGTCTTAATTGCTGTGTAACTTCCTGGTCCCTATGCATACCTCAGGCTATGAAAGGGCACCTGGGTTGCAGCTGCCTGTCCTCTGTAAATCTTTCAGGTGAGTCACCATTTCTAGAACAAGAACTGGTGTTTTCAAAGTTAGCTTTACATTGGTTAGAAGAAAATCCACTATTTTGTAAACTTTAAATATGTGGTATACATGTTGAAGGAGAGGAAAACATTAGTTAGGCCTTAGGTTTTGCTACTTAATTTATACTATACCTACTTGGACTGTTTGAAATTCACAAATCTTAATCCTGCATCTGGGAGATGGAGGCGGCTTTTTTTTTTGGGGGGGGGGGGGGGGGGGGTGTGTGTAATGCACTCACAGTCCCCAGAAAGCTTTTTACCAAACTTACATTGTTGGAATTAACCCTTTTTGTGCTTCAATAGCTATATGTTTATACATAATTATAATGCAAAAACAAATTTATTTCTACACACACCCATGAAGGAAAGCAGTATTCTGACAAATGGAGAAGATCAAGATTCTTAAGCAGCTGATTTTGGGACCTACTATAATACAAAGACTTGTTGCCTTCAGATATTAGGTCTATTTACTTAACACTTCACCAGGCTTTTTAAATGAGTCTTTCTCTTCCATGGTTTCTCTTCATATTCTCTAATTCCTTATGCCATTCTATGCGCAATTGCAGGCAGTTTGTCTTTTTATTCTGTTCATCCAAGAACTTCCCAAAGAAGTCTAAGACCTACAGAAATAAACAGGGGCAGTCCTTTAGAAACCTTATCTGCAACTGGAGGCAATCAAAAATCTTTCTACCCAAATTGTAGCTCATAGACCTGCAGTCTTAGGAACTTATTAGAAACACAGAATCTCAAGTCACACTCCATTCCCACTAAATCAGAAAGTGTATTTTAAGAAAGGACTAGACCAATGATCAGCAAACTCAGTCAACAGAGCCAAATATCAACAGTACAACGAATTAAATTTCTTTTGAGAGCCAAATTTTTTAAACTTAAACTTCTTCTAATACCACTTCTTCAAAATAGACTCCCTCAGGCCGTGGTATTTTGTGGAAGAGCCACACTCAAGGGGCCAAAGAGCCGCATATGGCTTGCGAGCCACGAGTTTGCTAGACAGTTGATATGCACATAGAATTTAAAAATCACTGATCTAAGATATTCAAGACCTCCAGGTGAGTACAAATACCCACTTTCAATGAGTATGAGTGTTAGAGCATCTTATTAAAAGTACAGATTAATTTAAACAAGCTATTACTGCAGTGGTTTCCCACCTTGTATTTTTTTTTTTTTATGACAGAGATTTCAAATAGGTGCCCAGACCTGATTCCCAAAGATTTAGATGTAAGTGGATAAGGCTCAGGTGTTTGTATTTCTTCAGAGCTCCAAGTAACTCCAATATGCATCTAGGATTGATAACTTTTGTATAAAGGCATTTTCTTCACTTTGCTTTCCTGAGATACTAAGGGTTTGGTGAGAAAGGAGTTACCATCTCAAGCTGGATTGTTCACCATTAACCAGAAAGACTTCAGGGAAGTCTGTAGAATAATAAGTCATCATTAACATCACTTTTGTAGGGACCATCTAGGACAGTGGTTCTCAAAGTGTGGCCCCTGGTGAGCAAGGAGCAGCATAATCTGAAAATGGGTTAGAAATGCAAATTTTGGGCCACCACATGAAAGCCATTGAATCAGAAATTCTGGAGGGTGGAGCCTAGCAGGTTATTTGAGTAAGCCCTCCATGTGATTTTGGTACCCATTAATTAAGCAATCCTTGTCTAGATTCAAGAGCCAACAAAAGTCATTTTATGTAATTATACAGAGTACATTCTTCCTCATTTTGTGATAAGTTGCATTCCTTCTTACCAAGGCACCTACTTCTCCCACCTCCAATCTATTCCCAGAAATAGGTTCATATAATTCCTTGGCGGAAAGCAAGCACAAGTTGGATGACCCACTGCATTGGATCCACTTCCCAGAAACAAGTCATAATTCAGAGGTGAATGATGACATTGCTTTCAGGACCAGTTACTAACAACTTACATCACATTCATTTCTGGAGGAAGCCGTGGTCTTCAGGTCTACCAGAAGCTGAGTTAACTGTTTCTCCAGTTCCAGACCATACTCTAGAGCTTTTATGCCGGTTTGCCAGTTATCTACCTCAGGCCTCTGTTAGGGAGAAACAGGGCAGTCACAGCTTTCTTACATCCAACTTTTTGGGTCTCATTATGTCTAGGTTTTCTAAATTTTGTGTCACAATGGAATTAACCTAACATTTTAAGTCCTGATGTCTGGATATCAGCTACAGACATTGTGACTTAATTGGTATGGAGTACAATCTCAGCATCAGGATTTTAAAAGCTCCCCATATGCTTATAAAGCATGGGTACCACTAGAACAGCTTCATGCACTATTTCATTAACTTTTGAATTCCTTGATGGTGGTTTAATTACATAATAACCAGACATTACTAATTCTCTTCATAAAGCTGGAGTTAAAAGAACCCCTCAGATAAGCAGCCATGTTTCTAGATGTCATACCCCCACTAAGGATTAAATGAGTCCTACTAAGTGTCTATCCCCATGAAAAAATTTATTTCATTACATAGAAGACATAGCCATTTCAAATACCAGTCTGTGCTAAAGATATGATATAGGATGCTAACTGTTCTAGAAGTGACCATTCGAGTTCTGCCCAGAGCATTAGAGTCACCTGGGGAACTCATTAAAATAAAGCTCCTTGGGACCATCTCTAGAGCATCTGATTCAGTTTGTCCATGAATTTGCATTCCTGATGATTTCCCAGGTGATGCTCATGCTCCTGGTACAGGGACCACACTAGTTGTGGCCCATTGAGAAAACTTAAGCAACTACTTAGTATCTGTAATTTTCTCAAAATGATATGAAGAGGCTACAAAGAAGACAGATGCTTACCCTCAAATTCAGTTTCTATAATCCTGTGTATAATGTGGGTAACCCAGCAGGTTAGGTGGCAAACAATAATTTAGTTCTCTAGACCCAGTAGAGGCCCCAATAAAATCATTTCAACAAATTACATAGTCACCTTAATCACAGGAAGGCAGATTGTATTCCCACATTTTCTTAGATATTTTATGAGTTGCTTTCCATTTTCCCTCTTCACATCAGCTTGGTCTTCAAGGAAAGCAGCCAAAAAAGGTTCTTCAGTGGAATTACAGGCCTGGGACATGGTGAGAATAGGGAGAAAATGGAAGTGAGACAAGATGATTTTTAAGGCTGGAAATCTTACACAAACTCACTTTCTTGTGGTTGTCCCAAAGAGACCTTCTTCATTCAGGCTGGGGTCCTTGGTTTGACCTTTGACTGCCAAAAGGCCCCAGCTGTTGTTCACACCCAGGCTACCTCGAAGAAAAGCCACCCAGATTTTAATATACTAGGGCCTAATCTTTGGCTATTATGGCCTCTTTAATGATCAGATTTGTGAACCCCACATGCTAACACTTATATTCAGCAACACTGTAAACACATGAAAACTCCAGTAAAATTTAAATGCTATTTTGCCAGGCTGGCATGTCTCAGTGGTTGAGCATCAACCTATGAATAGGGAGGTCACAGTTCAGTTCCTGAGTAAGGCACATGCCTGGGTTGTGGGCTCAATTCCCCGGTGTGTGGTCTGCAGCAGGCAGCTGATTAATGATTCTTTCTCATCATTGATGTTTCTATCTCTCTCTCCCCCTCTCCCTTCCTCTCTTGAATCAATAAAAATATATTAAAAATAAAATTAATCAATTAAATGACATTATAAAGTCAATTTTTTTTCACCAATCCTAACACATCTATCTTAACTCTAAAATAGAATATGGGTGAAAATTATTCAGTCTGCCACCAGTGTCTGTTGCTCATAATTTTGACAACCCACAGGAAATAATTGTGATTCACCCTATCATAGCCCATAGTTTGCAATCACAGCTCTAAATCATTAGGACACAAAGCAGCAAAATCCGAACCAATATATTGCTTTTTCATCTATCATCACACCATAACCACCATTATTAAGGAGACACAGGATATATCATAGCTAAAACCTCCCTCCTATTGACTCAAAAACCACACTAACCATAGATAAATAAGCATCACTGACGTGCAGCTCATAAGATGCCAAGTGATTAATAGCTCTACTACACTCGTCAGAGAGCAATTCCTTGGCTGCCATCTCAGCTTTAGAGAAAACCAGGCACGAAAAGTGCTGTGCTACATAATAACCTAACAGACTTCTTATATACTAGTAGGCAAATAGCCACTTTCATACAGCTGAAAACTAGATGAAATTCCATACAGCTGTGATTAACAGCTACTCATCTGGGAATGAGGACACTGTTTCTGCACCAAAGAACCAATCTCACCTGAGAAAAAGATGTGAATGGGGAGGAAGGGGAAAATTATTTCTCCTTAATATACCAGCCAGTGTACATTACAGATTTTCTCTATGATTTTTGAAGGCTGATCTACTTCCTGAATAGAGAAGTAGTAACAGAGTAGATATGTTAGCTTTCATATATTCATGTCTTTAAAAACAATTTATGGCACTTCGTGCTAGGTCCTATGGGGAATCTAAGAAGATTGACTAAAATGTATTATTTGCCAATAAGGGACATAAACCCTCCACTCCATAAGGCTGTAACGCATATAAATGATCTGAAGACAGGATATGATGGAGGTTCTGAAGCAGCAAAGCACATGTAGCTGAGAGGATTCTGGCAGATTTCACTGATGAATCAGCATTTGAAACTGGCCTGGGAAGTGGGTAAGAATGTAGGAAACAGAAATGGAAGAAGGGCGTTCCACCTGGAGAACTGGCACACACAGGCTGCAGGGATCAGACACAGTAATGCTTTCTCATCACTGCAGTAAGGCTGCTGCATTTGGGAGGCTTTTGCCCCGTCCTCAAATGGTCTCCCAGAACGTCTGACCTGCCTCAGCATTTACCACTTTATTAGACTCCTTTTAGAGTAGAGACTGTTTTACTAGTACTTATCTTGATAGTCCCACTGCCCATAATGAAGGGGTTTGTAAATGATAGGTGTGAACTCAAAACTTAGTGCATAAAAGTGTAGTTTACATGGGCAGCAGTGTGATTTCCCATGGTCTAGGAGGCAGTGAGGAGCCTGTGAGTTTCCTAATGGACAGCTATCCTGAGAGAAGGAGTCAAGCATTCTAACTTTGGCCCAGTCACAAGGATAAATAACATCATGAAAGGGAAGAGGTCATTACAAAAAGTCCTACTATTTGTCAGTTTTGTTTCTTGACCCTGCCCTGCCCTTGTCCCTAATTTGGAGCACAACAACAAAGTGCTTATTCCCACAGGCACTTTAAGCAAATGCTTTTCAAACTGAAATCCTAATATATAAAAACCCTGGGTTGCAAGGACTGGTCACAACCGAGGCCTGACCAAGGGGAAGTCAGTCCTGCAGTTAGCGCTGGGTTGTTGTGGCAAGCCAGCACTAACTGCTTCTGCTGTAGGCTCAGTGCCTCAGCACTGACTAGTGACAGGCCTGGGAATTAGGGCCAGAGAGAGACCTGAAGAGAGAAGCAGGGACTGATCCATTGCCTCTGTGGAAGCGCTTGATCAGTACTTGCCTCTCTCTTTCTCTCCCAGTCTGGCCAGCAGCCACACCTTCATTTTTCTCCATGCCTCTACCTGGGCTGCTGATCAGCCCCGCCTTTCTGATCAGGCCCCGTTGATAGGCACAGAGATGCTGACCAACCAATCAGAACAGAATCTGGGTGCTATGAGGAGCAAATGGTTGCCTAGGAGGTGGAGCTTTTAACTTTGATTTGCATAGGAACTGATCAATCAGAAACAAATGTGGGTACTGTGACGAACCATTGCTATCTAGGAAGCAGACCTTTTGATGCTGAATGGCATAGGAACTGACCAATCAAAACCAAATGTTGGTGCTGTGAGGAGCCAATGACTACCTAAGAGGCAGAGCTTTTGATGCTAACCAGCATAGAAACTGACCAATCAGAACCAAATTGGCCAGCAGAGGAGGGCCATTGGAGGCAAGATCAGACCAGTAGGGAAGGGCAGTTAGGGATGATCAGGCAGGCAGAGGCACTTGGGGGCAAGATCAAGCTGGCAGGGAAGGGCAGTTGGGAACAACCTGACTGGCAGGGGAGGGCAGGTGGGGGCAAAATCAGGTTGGCAAGAGAGGGCAGTTAGGGGTGATCAGGCAGTCAGGCAGAGAGGTTAAGGGTGATCAGGCAGGGAGAGGGGTTAGGGGCAACAGGCAAATAGGCAGAGGCAGTTAGGGGTGATCAGGTAGGCAGGCAGGCAGGCAGGTGAGCAGTTAGGAGCCAGTGGTCCCAAGTTGCAAGAAGGATATCTGACTGCCAGTTTAGGTCTGATCCCACAGGGACAGTTGGACATCCCCCTAAGTGGTCCCCAGTTGGAGGGGGTGCAGGATGGACTGAGAGAATCCCCCCTCCATGCATGAATTTCATGCACCGGGCCACTAGTTTGTACATAAATCACCTGGTGTTTTTGTTAAATTGCAGATTCTGATTCATGGGCCTGAAATTTCACATTTCTAACAATTCTGCCAAGTGTTGCTGGTCCAGGGACCGCAGTTTGAGTAGTAAGACTTTACGTATAGTCCTAAAAAGCTATTTCAATAAAAATCTGGTAACATGTGGAACGCAAATGGCACTACTGAGGACCCCCCTCATAGGAGAGGAGAAGTGGACCAGCCCTGCTGCTTCCCCACAGACCACTGCAGTGCTGGGCATGCCAGAGCTGCCAGGCCTCCATGGCAGCACCCTGGTGGAGGCAGCAGTGCCAGGGCGCTCAGCAATATCGAGCCTATGAAGGTTACAGAGGGGAAGAGGAAAGGGGATGGTAGCTGACTAATAGTTAACTGGTTTTCTTCATAGTGTGTGTAAATCTCACCTGAACTCCCAATAGAATTTGGGGAAACCTTTCAGGAGATTGGGTCCTATGTGAACAGGTAGAGACAAATAAAATCTGCATTATTACTTACTGTTAGTGTGACCCCATCTACAGAAGAGTAAATCTAGAAGATAAAGATTTTACTTACTGAAAGATGTAAAAGTTTATATCTCTTCCACCCTCTCCCTTCCTCTCTGAAATCAATAAAGAGAGAGAGAGAGAGAGAGAGGACCATGGGTGTGTTTATTGGTTTTAAACACAGTCATCATCATCACCATCACCATAATTAATTTCTTCTTCTCCTCTTCTCCTTCTCCTTCTCCTTCTTCTTACCACCGCCACCACTATCACTACCACTCCCAACAACAACAAAGAACTTAAAAATAACACATTTCTTGGTCAGCATCCCTGGACTGTTGGTTACAGAATGCTGGGTACTGAGTGTGAAAGTAGATTGATTTCAGGGGTTCTCTGTTGACTATATGCATTTATTATCTAAAAATAAAAGATACTCTTTAACCATCTAGAAATGAGGAATGAGGGTTGAAAAGCCCATGTGTTCAACTTGTAAAGACCTTTATAGGATGTCTAAGGGAAAGCAATTCTAAAAATACCATAATTGAAGGCAAACTATGATATTGAATATTGCCATCTGACTTACTTTCCAGTTTTATTCTTATCTTTATGAGTTAAGTTCCATACCAATGAATGTTGATTATACTGATTTCAGAATAAAATGAAAGGAAGGGGAAAGTGAAGAAATAAATTGTAATAAAGCCCAAAGTTATAGACAATTCTTTTTTAAAAAAAATAAAAGAAAGTGAATTTAACATCTTTCAAACTCTTATGAACTTGTCATGGTCTTTCAGAGATTCATGACAGAAAAGAAGCTAGCAGTTTTAAAATAATTGCTAGGTGCCATGCACTGTGCTAAACAACTGACATTTTATTTCATCTTATTCATTTAAAAAAACAATTAAGAAATCATTCTTATCTGTATTCTACAGGTGAAGTTCAGTAAGATACCTCAAGAGTAGAAGTTGCTAAGCACAATAATGAACTGAATCAGGATGGCAGACATTTTCTAGAACAAATAAGTTTTGAGTTGATTTGGAGCACAGAAAACAAAAAGTAAGAAAGGTTGGAACTGGGTAAAGTTTCTCCTGTGAATTAGGAAATTGTCAAGTTATGGTTTGTCTAAACTATTGATCTGCACAGTTAGTATCCAGAGATTGAAAAGCCCCTGTGTGTTTAACTGTAAAGACCTTTAGTTTAAAGGATGTTTGATTATGCTTAGAATGGTGATTAATACTGGGAGGGCTGAAGGTCTCCCCCTCAATGCAGTGCTGTGTTTCAAAGCTACCTGTGACCTCTCAACACAGATAGCCACCTTGCTACATGAAACAGATCCCCAGCCAGAGACTTCAAATTTCCAAAGTCTACACCCATTTCTATTGAACTCTATCTCTGGGTCTAAGTGAAACCCTCTTCTCACCCTACACATTCCAATTTGTCTTGTTCTTTTCTGACTCATTGATCCAACTCAAAAGAAATCAATGGAGTTTCCCAACTGCATTCTCTACCATGAATTTGAATTTTATTTCTATGAATCCTACTATTGGATTTACACTCTACTCAAATAATTATTAACTGTGGTACACATCTTTGTCTCCTGTAAAATGGAATATTTGTTTTAATTCATATCTTTCAGACTTTGCTCCTCTAGATTCTAGGGGTTCATAGGATTAAGTCACATGATAGGGTATTACAGGCATGACAAACAGCAGAGGCATTGCTCAGTCAGAGACTTCCTGAATGTGGGCAGCTCTGTCTTCTGTTCACATATTAATTGGATTTCTTCATAGGATTTCATTAGAAGTGATCTGATGCTACAACAAATTTGAAGACCATTGGATCAGGTTCTCTCTATCTCAAATAGTCTAAGGAAGTAATTCATTATGATTCTGCAACCTTAACACTCTAACAGAGGGAAGGGCTGTTTTACATGTTGCTTGTTTTCAGAAACTTAGAAACAAGTTTCTAGGAGACTAATATGTGGGTAACATACATGTACTCCTAGGAACTGATTCCAGCAGAGGGGTTTCAGGAGATAAATTCCTTTCTCATTAAATCATTCATAGTCACTCTTCAGATACTAGAAAAGAAAACTCATGTGACTACTTTCCCTGGAACTACTGACCCTGCTAATTTGATGGAGCAGAGCAGTGCTGGTTAATTCTAGTCAGAGCCCAAGAGTAGGTATCAACTTAGCTCTC